ACACGTAAAAATAACAACATATAGTCGGACGTTGCTAAGAACCGATTTCTTTAACAATATGCCAACGCACATAAAGACTGACCCTGATCTTAAATGAAACCCTAAGATTAGAAGTAACTGATGCTCTAGAAATTAAATGAAATCCTATTATGGATCTTTTTATAATATGATAATTTACTTAGGCAGTCAGACAATGAGAAAAGACTGACCATGAGTGTCAAATGGAACCCAAAAGGAACTGGTGCCGCTGGAACTTAAATGCAAGGCTAAGATGAATCTATTTATAATATGATAATTTATACAACATTTGGACAAATGAATTGGTGTATATCTTCAAAAATATGTATGAATAATACAAAACATTAAATATTACATCAGACTAATTTTATGAGAGAGATTATATATAATAGATATAAAATATAAAACATTAGTGATTAGACATTATTTCAGGCTAATTTTTTCAAGCCGAACAATTTTTAATTGAATGTGTGACAACTTGTTATATATTTTCAAACTGAACTATTTTTAGTTTGACAGCTTTCCTATTATGTGTGTGACAACTTTTTAGGTATTAAATTTTTTTTTTTTTATATATATATATATATATATATATATAGATTTTGCAATAAATTTATATTTTGTGATACAAAAACAAAAAATCGATTTACTATAAATTTTTTTGAAAATTTTCCTTTAAAAACAATCGACAAAAAAATGCAATAAAGGGAATTGGTGTATATCTCAAAAAAAAAAGATTTGTATATATCTTATATAAAATCATTCTCAAAATCTGCTGGAATGAAAAATATATTTAAATATAATATAAATATATTTAGATATTAATATAAATTTATATTTTGTAATTGTTGGTTCTAATAAATATGATAAAATAAAAAAGAATCCTCACAAATGAGAATTTCAAAATTGACGCCATGTAAATTTAAATATTACTATAAAATTGTATTTTTTTTGTGTATGTAACATATATGCTAATCCAAATCAATGATTCTAATAAATCTGTTAAAATAAAAAAAAGAATCCTTGATAAATAAGAGTTCCAAAATCGGCTACATATAATTATTTACATAATCTTTGCCTACAAAACCACTATCAACGTAATTAAAGAAAACCAAGAATTTACTAAAACAAACACAAACCGAAAATCGAGTTATATGAAAATTATGCAATTAATGATTTATTTTTTATTTAGATCATTTTATAATATTTCCATCTATAGTAGGCAATTAATGTTTTGGGCAGAAAATGCTCATAAAATGTTCAGGTATGAAAAAATCAAACCTAATTGTAAACAACATTATTAGTTTGATTATTGGGCACACTACAATAAAATGATAAAATTCTAATGAAAATCTATTCCAAAAGAAACTATTCCAACGACAATTCCAATGGATATTTCAATACTATTATTTCCGTTGGAAATTTTCAATGGATTCCAACGGAAATTCCAACAAAAATATTCCGTTGGAATGAACTTTCCATTGGAATTTCTGTTGGATTTTGACGATTCTAACGGTGAATTTTTCAACGGGGTGGAAATAATAATTCCAGCGGAATTTGCTTATTCCAACAGAAATTCCTACGATAAAAAAACCATTGGAAATATAGCAGTTGAAATCATCAAATTTCTAAGATTGACACTCACTCTTATTTATCGACATGACAATATAAATGAATATTTATCTAAAAAACTTAATCTTTGAAATGTAGTGGCCGTGTGTTATTTTTTAATTTCGTTATTGATGGACTCTTTTACTAATTAGTTGGTTTGAATCAATATATAACAAATTATGTCGACAATCGTTATTAGAGTTTTTAAATTAATTTGTGTAAATGCATAAATAAAAAGAGACCTAAACTATAAAAATGTTTTCATCTTTTGAAATCAAATAAATGACAATCACTATCTTTTAAAATAAATAATGATAATGATTATAATATTGTATTATCAAAACCGATAAGGTCTATAAAATTCGTTTTCAATTTCAAATCGATAATGAAAAAAAAGTCTAATTGGTGAAAAGATGATATATACAAATCATGATTTAGAAATCTGATATATACAAACCTTAGCATGCGGTTTCAAATAATTTAATAATATAATAATAGGCTGAATGAATTATTCAGATTCATGCAAAGAAAATTTTGAACAAATTTCTAAAATCATTATATATACAAATCATGATTTTCCTTGGAGATTTATTCGGATTTCCAAATTGTTTGGAAATCACGATTTCTAAAATAATAATTTATTCGGATTTACATTCGGATTTCCAAATTGTTTGAAAAAATAGGAGATTTATTCGTATTTTGATTCCTTATTGGTTACCAATATAAAAGTATTTGATGTTATTAAAAATAAGGGGAAAAAGCTGATTTACTATTTTTAGGAGATCATTAATGAAAGTAGCGGAAAATTGTTTCTAAATTTGATTTATGTTAATCCTGACTATATAGGATTAACATACATGTTAACATATAAGTAACATATATGTTACTTTCACGTAAATACTAATATCAAATTCTTCTTTGTTACTTCTATGTTAACATATAAGTAAAATATATGTTACTTTCACATAAAGAAAAATCTGGATAATACTATGGTCGATTCTTCTTTGTAAATGTGCGTGGAACATATCAAATTGTTGTGTATGTGTATGTGTATGTACAACAGTTTGTTATTACTTTGATCATATTGTAGTCAAATCAAAATTTTGAATACAAATTTTAAAATGACATTTATTTTTTAAATGATGATAGTGTAACTTATTATCAGTTACTTGCACCGTACGAGTCGTTACTTATTTTAGATAGACATATTTTATGTAATTTTACACAATTTAAATTTTATATAACATTTTCAATAAATTAATATAAATAAATTATAATACATATTGATTTCATATTTGTAATTTATAAATATTATTTAATGAGTATTTGAAAATTTATACATCCTTTGGCACGGTATAGACTAGAAATTTTATAAAGCATGTGTGGGAATCATCAACAAAAGCAGCGGCTTAAAAAACGCCACGTGAACGGTCCGATTTCCCCAGAACCGACTGGCACACGTTATTTGGTCAAATATTAGGGTTGCGTCCGATTGTTTTTCCTCACTATTGCTTTGCCTACCCTCTCTCATAATTCTCTCTCTAGAAAAAAGTTTTTATCTTTCTTATTTTTCCGCCAGATCTTGAGATGGAGATGGAACGCGTGACGGAGCTGACGATGGATCGGCGGCCGAGGAAAAAGCCGCGGTTGGGATGGGATGTTCTTCCTCAAGCCCCTAAGGTAACTTTTTTATCAGATCTTAAACTCTTGATCTTCTTCTTTTTCCCTTTTTTTATGGTTTGTTTTGTAGATCTGATGCGAAATTATGAATATTATTCGGTCAGGTATGGTTAATGGCTTTTTATTTCAGTGATAAATTCGCCTTGCTGTTGTGGTTTTATGTTTTTTTTGGTTTCTTAATAGTTCGAAGAATTCTTATTTTCTTATTCCTTAATTCTTTTAAACGGCCTCAGATCTGCTCTTGCTTCTTATATTCATCCAGAAGATTTTATGACTTTTGAAGAGAAAATCTTAGTTGTATTGTGTGTATTATATTATTTCGAGCTGATTATTTTCATGGAGTGCTGTTATCTTTTTTTCTTAGAAGACCTCCTTTTTTTATTCCTAAGTTTTGAAATTAATCGTCAAAATTCATGACCTATCTTATAAAGGATGAGTCTTTACTGTTTATTATGACTTTGATTTGTATGGTACTTTTGTGATGTGAGTATTCACCCTTATTTTGGGATTTCTATCGGTATGCTTGGTTTGATGTGAGATGTAGTGGTGACATGATGCACAGTGGTCCCGAGGAGGTAAATAAAATTAACAACAACCTTTTATATTGAAAAAAATGTGAATGGTGCCTGTGTGTAGGCTCAGCTAGGATTGTTTTCTGGACAAGAGATTGGAAATGTGACAAGCTATGAACCTTCGAGGGCACTCTCGGATCATCCTAGTTCACTATTTGTTAAGGGTCTTGCTCGAAATGGTTCACCCCCATGGCGAGAAGATGACAAAGATGGCCATTATATGTTTGAGATCGGAGAAAATTTAACTTCTCGCTGTAATTACTTTCACTATCATCAGAACACATTCTCTTTGTTATGCCTTGATTTTTGGACTACGTGGATGATTTGGATTTGGTCGCTTTAGTTAAAAATATTAAAGTTTGATTTGGTGTTTGGGTCAAGACTTTTTGATATAGCATCTTGTTAATGTTGTCATCTTAAGTTTTAAAATGATTTGTAAAGATTTATTCACAGAGAAGTATGATGCATTGTTCTTTTATTTAGTGGACAACTTTGATCAATACTTATGAGGTTTTTTATTTTCTTATGTGCAGATAAGATTCACAGCAAGATGGGTGAAGGTATGTTGATTCAGCAATTTTTATTGATTGTACTGACAACTATCACTTTTGGCCTTTGGTCCGGTTTTTTACAAACCTTATTACGTTTTCAGGTACTTTCGGTCAGGTTTTAGAGTGTTGGGATAGGGAGAAAAAAGAAATGGTAGCCATCAAAATTGTCCGTGGCATTAAGAAATATCGTGAAGCAGCAATGATTGAGGTAGAAGTGCTTCAACAACTTGGTAGACATGACAAGGGTGGCAGTCGGTGAGTTTGGGTTTCATCTTTTCTTAACATATAGTCCATGAGCTTTTGTAAAATTATTATATGGTTGAACATGTTTATTCCTTGCAGTTGTGTTCAATTACGGAACTGGTTTGACTATCGTAACCATATCTGTATTGTAAGTATATGATTGATTTGTTGGATTAAATTCCCCATCCTAACAAATATTATGGGGCTTAAATCAATCCGTGGACTTAAATGGTTTCAACAGGTCTTTGAGAAGCTTGGACCAAGCTTATACGATTTCCTACGCAAAAACAATTATCGCTCATTTCCCATTGATCTTGTCCGTGAGATTGGCAGGCAACTGTTGGAATGTGTAGCATGTGTGTAAATAGTTTCTCATTCATTCATTTGGACTAATGCTTAATGAACCACTCATTTTTGAACAGTAGTTTACGTTCTATCTGCTATTCAAATTTAGGAAGAACGTATGCACTTAATTTCTTTTTTAGTTTTTTCCCATTTAAGGACAGTTTTTTTTAATTGGTTGGTGTTGTGCTTTGTGTTGATTGTTGCTTATCACCTCAGTTATGCATGATTTGCACCTCATTCATACGGACTTGAAGCCTGAAAATATTCTTCTTGTGTCACCGGAATATTTGAAAGTTCCTGATTTCAAGGTAGTTTGTAAGGTCTTGCCAGCTTATACCATTGGAATTGCATAGCTAATATATGTCGTTCTGAGGCTCATTTTTATTGCATTATCTCCAGGGTTCTTCAAGGTCTCCGAAGGATAACTCGTATTACAAGAGGATCCCAAAGTCTAGTGCTATCAAAGTAATTGACTTTGGTAGCACGACATATGACAGAAAGGACCAGTCTTATATTGTATCTACACGGCACTACAGAGCCCCAGAAGTTATTCTAGGTAATGGGTTTTCCCACAACGTGTTAAATGTTTTACTGTACTTTTGCAATTCTGACGTAGTTTTTGTCTTTTGCCTGTGTAGGACTTGGGTGGAGTTACCCTTGTGATATATGGAGCGTTGGTTGTATCCTGGTTGAACTTTGCTCGGTAATCTAATTGTTCCCTGTAGAGTTTGTTGTGATTTCTATTGTGTTCTGCTTCCCATCCTTAAGTAATCTGTGCCTCTTTCCATAGGGCGAAGCGTTGTTCCAAACCCATGAGAACTTGGAGCACCTTGCAATGATGGAAAGGGTACTCGGAGCCTTACCCCAGCACATGTTGAAAAAAGCAGAGTAAGCGTCTTATAATTTACATACATTATATAATGAGGTATTCTTATTTTTCCTTGTGCTTGTTTTATTGATCTGTCTGCCGTTTTTTGCAGTCGACATGCAGAAAAGTATGTTAGAAGGGGTCGGCTTAACTGGCCAGAGGGGGCAGCAACTAGAGATAGTATGAGGGCTGTTCAGAAGTTGCCGAGGCTCCAGAATTTGATCATGCAGCACGTGGATCATTCGGCAGGAGACCTTATTCATTTACTGCAAGGGCTCTTGCGATATGATCCAGCTGAAAGGTTGTCGGCTGAGGAAGCACTAAGGCACTCATTTTTCACCAGGGATCGTCTGATTAGATACTGAGACCGAGTCTTCCTTTTTGAATTGAAAGGGGAGCTTTCGATTTTGCATCGTGCCTGTAAGTAATGGTTGTTCAAAGTTGTGCAGAGGTGGTGATGCTTTCGGGATTAGTTGCTGCAAGACCCGGTAGTGTACATAGGTATGAGCGTGGAATGGCCTGGAATAGGAATAATTTGGCGGTCTACATTTGTATTAATTCTAGTGTTGTATTCCTGAAGACTTTTATTCTCATTTTCCCTTGTTATATTGTGATAGATTTCTTTTTTCATGGCATACCATGTAGTGGATGGAAGGTAAAATATAAATTTTGTTCGGAGAAGAACGTGTAAATGCTTTTGCTGCTTTGTCTGTTGTCTGATGCATTTGGTTTGTCATTCTCAATGGTATAATGTCTCGTGCATCATAGTGATATGGTAATAGATTGTACAAGAAGTCTTACCAAAAGGTGCCGACTCATGAAAGCTTCTCATCTTGTTTAGCACTTTGGAGTCGAACAACAAATAGTAAACTAAAGATTTTGTTGCAATATTTGAGTGATTCTTGATAAATACGTGATACAAGCACTCTTGATTAATTAAATTCACGGCACAAGAATTCTTGATAAATAGGGGTCACAAGCATTCTTGGTTAACTTGACACGAGCATTCTTGGTTAATTAAATACGGTCGAACTAGAATGTTTCTGCTATGGAAGCCTCTGATAATGAACCAAAATGAATGCTTGATAAATACGGGTCACAAGCATTCTTGATTAATTAAATACGGTCGAACCAAAATGTTTCTGCTATGGAAGCCTCTAATAATGACACGAGGGATGCTACCAATTTTATTAAGTATATATATATATATTTTTTTTTTGTTTTTTTATTGTTAACTACATAACACGTATTCGTTTTTTAACCCTAAACTAATTTAATACAAAACTGTGGATATACAATAAGAAAAGGTTAAAGTCCCGTTACGAACAATTGTGTTGAGACTTCTAACAATAAGAAAAGGTTAAATGAGTGTAACATGTTCATCTAACGGTTACAAATTCTAACGAAATGGTTCCGTAACAAGACTGTGACCTTACCCTATGCAATAATGTGACATCTACTATTAAAACGATAAATTAGTGGTCTCAAGCCACTAAATGAATTATTGACTTAAAAAATTGTAATGTCCATAGTATGCATTATTAAATTGGAAAATAAAAAAAAAGTAAATGATAATTTTAAACGTACCGTAATTTAAAATTTATAAATTTGTAAAATTATAAATATCACATAAATGACTTAGTGAAGGATACAAGCAAATACACAAGATTGCATATAAAATCTTTAGCGTAAAATAATATGAGAAATATTTTATTTTATTTGCCTTAAGATAATTTTGACAATTTATGTTGACAAAATAAATACAAAGTGGTAACATCAATTATCTTATATTAGATGAGAAACTAATCAAATTGTGTATCGATCTATTATGTAAGTTACTTCATTATCTTGAAAAAAAAAAAAAAATAAAAATAAAAATAAAAAAAATAATAATAATAATAAATAATAAGATGGGGATAAAAATAAAGATTTTCATTAATGTTCAGGTTTTTTCATTAACAAAATATATTCCGAGTTTATATAGGGGAAGGGAACAACTTTACCATCCAATTAAACACACACACACACACACACACACACACATATATATATAATATTCTCCGACGCCATTCCTTTAAAGCACCCACCCCTGATCTCCTGCAATTTCTGAATATAAAGGTGATGCTACTACTGCTACATTTAATTTAATTCTTTGATGCAGTGTTCTTGATTTTTCATGTATTATTATATCTGTCTCAATGTTTTTGATCGCTTCTTACTTTTACATGTAGTTAATATTTATTTATTTGTATCATATCATATGTATGAACTTTGGATCAAGAATGCTTGTTAAAAATTCCATGAGATTGGTTTCCTCTTGCGCCTCTTCTTCATCTGCATAATTTTTGGCAATCTGAGCTACATACGTACATATTGGATGGATAAATCAATTTATGTCAATTCTCCATTCATAATCGATTGATACCAAAAACTTCATCTTTTCCCAAACCACATGCTTCCTTCCAGTGTGTGTTGTGTCTCTGTTTTCTTAATAATTATGAATTGGTGCAAAAATATATCAGCTTTTGATTACTTGAATGATTCTCATCATAAATTTTTCTCTACAGAACCCCCATTTTATCTGCCCCATATGGGGTATCCTAATGTATTTGTCAATGCCCAAGAAAACAAGCCCCTAGTTTCCTTTGGAGTCATATCTGATGTCCAATATGCTGATATTCCCGACGGGCGCTCGTTTCTTGGTGTCCCCCGTTACTACAGGCACAGTCACCTTGTGCTGCAAAGAGCCGTACAAAAATGGAACGACAAAAAGGTCGATTTTGCGATCAACTTTGGGGATATTGTAGATGGATTCTGCCCAAAGGATAAATCTTTAACCGCGGTCCAGAAAATAGTCGACGAGTTCAATGCTTTCAACGGGCCCGTTTATCACATGATTGGGAACCACTGTCTCTACAACCTCCCTCGCGAAAAGTTACTGCCTTTACTGAACATTCACAGCCGTAACCATCTCGCCTACTTCGAATTTTCACCGGTCCCAGAGTACCGGTTCGTGGTTCTCGATGGTTATGACATCAGCGCTATCGGCTGGCCCAAGGACCACCCAAAAACATCAAAGGCATTAAATTTTCTAAAGGAGAGAAATCCGAATCCGGAGAAAAATTCTCCAAACGGGCTCGTGGACCATGAGAGACGGTTTCTCATGTTCAATGGTGGGGTGGGGAAAGAGCAAATGGAGTGGTTGGATAAAGTGCTTCAAGACTCGACGAGGCTCGACCAGAGAGTGGTGATATGCTGTCATCTACCGTTGTATCCCGAGGCATCATCCTACGAGGCCCTCTTGTGGAATTATAATGAGGTGATGGATATGATTCATAGGTATAGATGCGTAAAGGTCTGTTTGGCCGGACATGATCACAAAGGAGGTTATTCGGTCGATTCTTACGGTGTGCACCATCGGATTCTTGAAGCGGCCTTGGACTGCCCTCCTGGGACCAATGCCTTTGGGTGTGTCGATCTTTTTCACGATGGTTTGGTGCTGTACGGTACCGATAGATTGAAATCTCAAGAAATGCTTTTCTGTCCATAGTTGTGGTGGGAGTTCTGTTTATGTTTAGGGGCAGTTTCGATTTTTATGTTAAGGAAAGGTGCACACGAGTTCAAGATGTCGTTAATGCAATCATCTGTACTAGATAGCTCGTTGAGAAATCATTTTTCTGTTATTATAATCCACATGAAATATACATGAACTGGAAATAATAAAATAATAATAAAATCGTGACTTGTCGGTTGTTTGCAAGACTGGTTTTCCCATGGCTAACACTCTGTTGTCAAGTTCTTACCTTTTCATATCTGTACCTCAAATGGTTAGCTGATCCTCCAGACGTAATAGCTTTTTATTCGTACAAAAAGCGAATATTTTCTTATATGAAGTGTGTGGGAATGAAATGTTTCGAGTTCTGAACTTGAGCTTTGTATTTAGTAGGTTATAATGACCATGTGAATAAATATATGCCAAATAGACTGGGGACTTTTTTAAAAGAATGTTTGCCATTAGAGGATTTACATTGTGGATGTGGAACATAAAATCAATACAACAGAATGACTAACAGCCTTCTGAATCAAGTTACACATCATTTCCTAAGATTCGTATCATCCCATGTAGCCTTGATAGTAACATTGACTTCATACTTTTGCATTTGCATTTTTGCACATGTTTTGAGCAAAGGGTTGCAGTCAGTTATCTCGATTGTGCGTAGAGAATCAGAATCCCGAGCTATCTCAGGAATCCATTTTAACCTCTAACAGTGCTTTATGCTCAAGTACTTGAGCATGGGAAGCTGTTTTCTCCAACTGTCCATTGTACCAAATTAGTATCTTCTTCAATCAAAAGATAGGCAAGCCTTGTGAATTCCGTGTCATCTGTTTCCCAGTTCGGCCCCCGAAAGGCATAGCATCTCAGTTTGAGTTCTTCAAGCTTTGGCAATAAAGCTACCGCCTTTATGTCCTTCCAAGGATATCCCAAACAACTGATACTCAACCTTCTAAGACCTGTCGGTAAATTTTGAAATCGAAGCAATTAAATTTAGGATTTATTACCATGCATTTAACTGATTCAAGTCCATGAAAACTAGAAATATGGTTGAAGAATCCCAAGGGCACTTCAACAGCATACGGTGTCAATTCAATTCAATTAGGATTCCTAATCCCTTCAGATTAGGGAGCCCTCTTAGAACATTCTCAGTACAGCTTTTAGGGCTCGCGTGTAAAAGTATCAAGAGGTTTGGTAAAAACATGACACAAGGATCCGGGTAGATCGCTTCCCGTGACTTGAAGATGCTTCAGTTCTTTCATGTCCCATATCTCATTTGGCAAAAACGAACGCACTCTAAAGGGTCTGATATTCAGATTATTGTGGACAATCAAGAATTGAAGGTTCCATAGTCTGAATATAGAATGAGGTAGGTTCCCGACCTTAACTTAATTAGTATGAGTACTTGTTGGGAACTCGTAAAAACGGATCGTGAGAGCACCAAGTACTCAAAGCAGAGACTTAAATCCGCAGGTATGGGGACCGAGTATTGATGTGGTGGCCCGAAACATAAGAGGGAGCGTGCAGTTGAAATAGATGCCATTGAGTTGTATACATCCTTGATGTGGAATAAAACATTGTTGTGCACACATAATCGATGTTTTCGTCAGACTATCGGCATGCTTGTTTAAGACATGAAAAGAATTGCTTTTTGCAGCTATTCTTTTGCAAAGGTGGCAAAAGACAGAATGTAGGCGGCAGTTTTTAGTTCTAGAGGTTTTCTTGCACACCAAAACAAGACTTGTTGAGACGAGGGCCTTCAAATATTTCCAGGCAAACTCGTTCAATGTCTGGAGCTTGATAGGCTCGAGTAACCCCTCGGCACTCCCTAGTTTGATAAGCTTGGAGCAGGGGATTTCGAAATACTGAGGGAAAACTCCCTGTAGAGAGAACATGCTTTTAAGTATTGAGACAAGTGATTGTAGCTAGGAAGTAGTACCTTGGAAATTTTATCGTACGCATCCGTGAAAACTGAATTTTCTCCCTCTGTAACATTTTCCAGAAGCTCTAGACTTATATCGGATTTTGATAAGAGGCAGCAACTGTAATGATTGTAAGAGGAAGACCATCACAATTCTCAGCAATCTTCTTCCCGGCCTTTTCGAGTAGAGGAGTACAAAAAAGTTCCCGGGAGAACACATTTTCACGAAGAAGGTTCCAACTTTCCTGCTTATTCAAAAAGTGTACGTTCAGTCGGAAGTTAGACCTCATGGCTACCTTTTCTACACTGGTCGTCACCAAGAACGGACCACAATGGTAGACATCGTATGGAAGTGAGTCTAGAAACTTATAAATGAAATGTGGGTCCCACACATTATCCAACCCAAAGAGATGCATCCTACCATCTCTATCGATATTCACTTGCGCTTGAATTTGTTTCACGATTTCGTCGAGCTGATAGTCACTTCCCACGTTCACCCAAGCTCGAAATCCAAAATGCTTCACGATTGCTGGATCATTGTAAATTTTTGCAGCTAGTGCCGTCTTGCCAATCCCTGCCATCCTGCACAATGAAAATACCCTGCCTTCCCCACGAGCAACCGATCTTTGGTTTCACTAAACGGATCAGATAATCCAACCATTTTCGTCTTGCTCCCTCCCTAATAAGCCTCAAAGATTGATCTGACATCAACATCATTATTGTCGTCATCGTTTTCTTTTCGTTGGATAATTCATTGATAAACTCCTCCTTCAACTTGTAAACCGAATATAGAAAGGAGTCAACATCTGAGTTCACTTCATGAAGATCCAATGAGAAAGAAAGCTGGGTGTGAAAGCAACTGATTGGAGACATATTGGTTTCGAGTAGATCTTCGAATTTGCTTACTGCCTCCCTGATTTTTTCGCCCAACGCTTTGACTCTCTTTCTGCTGCAAGTGCTTCTGTTTTGATCAAGCTTTTCAAGAACTTCTTGTAAGGAAATAGCCTGCTCATACGCATACTGAATGGTCTCTTTTGATGGGGGAAGAATGAAAAAACGAGAAGAACTTAGAAGGTGCTTAATGGTATGTTTAAGAGAAACCACAGCAGCATATGCCATCTCTCTCTCTCTCTCTCTGGCTGTGATTCATTCACACAACTAAAATGGGTTTCGGAAAAGCAACACCGTCTGTGGAAAGAGTCATAGGGTGGACAAACAGAGAATTGCAAAGACGAAATTGTGGCCTTATGCTTTTATTTTGCAGATTTTTGTGCTGATTGGTGATGAGAACATCCAAAAAGATTCTGCATTTTCCCATCTGAAACAACGGTAAACTTTTCCACACGATCCTGTCATATGCATGGCTCAGCTTGTTTAACTTTTGTTCACACATCAAGTGTACGTAGTGCTTACATATTATTATATCTATAACGTGTGAATACTCAAATGTATACATAAAGTAAACCTCGTTGAAACATTGGCTTTTTATGAATTAGGAATGTTGAGCACACTGACATTGAATGTGATGTAAGAGAAATTTCGGATTATTATACAAACACAGGGAGTCTCTCTCCCTGTAAAACGCATTCATAAAAGGATTAGAGCGGTGAATGTAGCCCATTGGCTGTGGCCTCACCTGGGCAAAGCAAATGCAGATGAATAGAGAAAATGACTGCAGGTTAATGTCCATTTCACTAATTTAGAATCATGTGCTTGGATTAGTTTTCTTCACAAAGGTTCGACATTGATTTTCTTTTTTTTCTTTGCGTTTAAACGAGGCAGTCGCACCTTGCGATGCACCTGATGATTATTAGTTCCACATGTATTGAAAGATGAAATATATTTCAATTATACTAATTTAAAATAATGGTAAAATAGAATGCATAACAAATGTGAGGAATTAATCATTTTCTTGTAATTCCATTGAACAGAAAGATTTAAGCAACATTATTGATTAACATGGAACGGCTTATAGTTTATTGAACAAGACGAAGACACTCGAATCATACATATTAATAATTCCTCAAACTGCATAAGGCAACAAGAGAAAAATGAACCAACACTTATGTCCAACAGCATCATGAACACAAAGAAAATGCTGCATGCAGTTATTCGGAGGCAAGCAAAAGGGCGGGAGGTGATGAGCAGCGGAGTTTTATCAATTGTTTCAACTTCATTTCCCAGTGTCATGTACCCTGCAGGAATCAATAAGACTAAATACAGGTGACCCTACTTAGAAACAATAAATACTCTGCAGCACTAGAGACCCGACCTTATCATATTTGAACTTAGATTGCCTTCTCAAAAAACGAAACGAAAACTTCAAACCATGTGTATTTCTACTCTAATTTTCAAATAATAATTCAAAAGTTAAATTGACTAATGAATTAATCTTTGCACTTCCTATACTTTTACTTCACTGATGATATCTCTGTTTATAATCCATCTTCCCATTTTATTTACAACTGTCAAAGAAGATGTAATAAATAGTTGAGAACATCATCATTTTTGACTTTTGAAAGATCACATTCAGTCTCCTTCCTAGTATGAACTCGTCCAGGTACAAGTTAATTCAATAAATATATGGTTAGATAGTGAACAATATTTTATCTTAGACGAAAAGGGAAACATCCTAACTTAAACACAGACCCTCTCCTAAGACAGAAAGGCTTGTGATTGCAATGAATTAAATCAGCAAGGCATAAATGTACCTTAGATTAGGCTTTCGATTGTCCCTGACATCCTAGACCAACAATGAGCTTGAAATCATTCTCCCACCTGGATTTGCACTGTCCTTTCGATGCCGCTTTTCGCATCTCAATATCCCTGGCAGAGTTGACAGCTGATGCGGAAACACCATCCACGTCCAATATCTCCAGGCTCTCTGTCACACCCTCCGGAATTTCCACCAACTTGTCACAGCTCCTAAGCACAAGTGTCCTGAGACTGGGAAAGAAATCAGGTGTGACCTCCCACACTGCTAAATCTGTGTCCTGAATCAACAAGTAGTGGAGATTGAGAAATCCGTGACCGACTGCCCTCCAATCTCGCCCCACGAACGCCTTCCCTCTCAGCTTGAGCACCTGAAGGGAATTAATCCTAGCCAGCTTCGACATATGTGTCCAGTCCAGGTGCGTGGACGTTATCGTCAGCCTCTTTAGGCCAGCTGGGAAAAAATTGTACTCCGGAAAGACATAAATCCGATCCGAGACGGATTTATCGTTCACAAGCTTCAGCTTCTCCAGGAGGCGCAGTTCTTCGAGGGACCTCTTCACGCCGAAAAGAATAGCTAATTTTCCGCGGATGCCCAGTTTCTTCAAGTTGCGCACTTTATTGAAGACATTCTCTGTGCAGTAGTCAGGGGCCAACCTGCTGAGCGTCTGGAGATTCTCGCCGGCTTCACCTTCACCTTCACCCCCCTTGACGTCAAGTATGATGGCGGCTTTCGTGATTATGTGCCTAAGCTGAGTCATGGCCCATATGTTGGCCTCGATTGTGAGGAAGTTGGAGCTGGTGTTGACGACGAGCGTTTGCAGGTTCAAAAGATTGGAAATGGCTGGCGGGAGGGCATCAGCATCCTCAATAGAAATAGTGATGTACCTCAAATGCATCAGCTTCGTGACTCCTTCCGGAAAGCGCTGGAACTTGATGGACGACGTGTCGAGCACACGGAGCAGGTCGAACAAGTCTGGGATCACAGGCGTGTCCTTGGCGTCGAGGTCGACGGGAGCTTTGTTGAAGCTGAGAAAGGATCGCACGCGTGGACCCTTTATCCTTCTGGAGAGGAACTCCGGGAGGCCGGCGTGAATACACAAGCGCCGGCATTTCGTTATGTCTGAAGTCGTGAAGACACCCTCGTTCGACAATTTTATCTCCTGGTACAGATTGAGCTCCTTGTCGGCGGCCTTTAACTTACAATGCACGCGAACCATGTCATGAACCTGGCACGTCCTGACCTCATCGTTGGGATTCCGCTCGGTCACCTGCACCAGGTTGAAGTCGATGAGTTCCTGCAGATAGTCCCGCGCAGTCTTCTCCAGACTCTTCCCCTCCTCTGCCCTGATGAAGCCCTCGGCTATCCACAGATAAGTGAGCGTGCGGGCCGGGATCCTGTAATCCTCCGGGAACACCCCCAAGTAGACGAAGCAGTCGCGCAAGTAATCGGGCAACCTCTGGTAACTCATCTCAACAATCTCACGCACGTTCACATCCTTATTGTTCGTCACGTTTTCCCCCACGTTCTTTGACACCTCGAGCCACTCGTTCCGGACGAGGTTAAGGATCCTCGTCTTCTTGAGGTGGTCGAGAAGCACACCACCGATGACAACAACGGCCAAGGGCAGGCCCTTGCACTGTTCGGAGATGAGTCTGCCGGTGTTCAGCAGGGGCTTGGGGCAGTCGTAATCCTGCCGACCAAAAACCTGGAGGCGGAGGAGCCTCCAGCTCTCGTCCTCACGCATTCGCCGGAGCTCGAGAAGGTCCCGACCCGGGTTGGCGTGGTCCCCGACTTTTGTATCACGGCTGGTGATAAGGACTTTCGCACGGTTGTTGCGCATCGGGAGGACATCGCTTATGGCGTTCCAGACGTCAACTTTCCAGACATCGTCCATGACGAGGAGGAAGCGGCCGGCACCGGTGAGGCGACGGCGGACCTCCTGGGTGAGCTGGTGGTCGGTCCAGGCAGACAGGTCCTGGCTAGTGAAGTCCTTGAGGATGGTGAGGAGAACATCCTTGCGGTTAAGGACCTGAGTCACGTAGACCCATATGCGCACGGGGAACTCTCGCCTGATGACTTCGCTTTCGTATACCTTGTAAGCGATAGTTGTCTTGCCAAGGCCGGGCATGCCAATGATGGAGATAATGTCCAGCTCGTGCCAAGGCTCCAGCAGGCAATTCACTATCCTTTCTTCCTCGTCTTCCAGACCTACCACATTGTCTTTCCGGAATGACGGGAGCTGCACATAATTAGTTACGAAAAATTTTAAGATTTTGCTTGGTCTATGTTTTGCATTAGTTAGCTATTGGGGACTCAATACTCTACATCTAAAGCTAAAACACATGTCATTCAGAACAAGTTTTCCACACATCTCCTAAAATTGACAAGGTTGCACGCACCATTTCTCTTTTCTATATCCCTGTCATATATGCAGAATAAGGTCTCCATCTCATTGACCTGTTGTCTACAGAATACATATAAATTTTAACCAGAAACATATTCCGAACAGATATGAAGCAATTAACATAGTAACATTCGACAATGTGAACCAAAACATTTCAACAAGAGCGAACAGGATGAAGTTGAAATATTATTGAAAAGGGAATAGGATAAAATTAACCTCAAACGCATGTGGGGGGTAGTCATCATAGGTGGTGCCGAAGGAGCCGGATCCGCTGTCGTAGGTGTCCAGGTAGAGCTTGATCTTTTCGAGGACGGGGGCCATTTTGTCGGTCCTGAGGGCCTTGACCTCAAGAGGCAGGCTGACGTCAGCCTTTTCGACGACCTTCTTCCCCCACTTAGAGAGCTTATTGGACTTGGATTTGGCCCTGGCCTTGGCCCTGTTGGCCTGAGTGAGGCAGGAGTCTATGGTGTCGTCGGCATCGTAGACCACCTCTCGGATCTGCCTCTCAACCTCCCGGAAAAACTCCTCCTTCTTGGGCCTTCTGGCGGCGTCCAAAAGGAAGGACTTGCACATGCCCAGCTCATTGTTCAGCTGCTGCAGGTCGTTCTCTGCCCCCGTTATCAGATCCGTGTACCATGTCAGCACCTCCGTCACCTTCGTCAGCAGGAACTCCACTGCTGCATCTGCCATAATAGCGAGGGATCAGATCAATAATGTGCAAAGTCAAGTGCAGAGGAGTGGAAATGGACAGTGTTCTGAAATAGATGTAGAATAGTTTTTGCTATTATATTAAATATTATATTATATAACGAGCAGAGTGAGTGAGAACTAAATTAATTGCTAACGGGGGAGGGGAGGTCTTCTTGTCTTGTGCATGAATATTTAATTAGCCACTTGCCCGCTCTTTGTTGCCTGTACCAAAAAAAAAAATAATAATAATAATAATATGGGTAGTTGTACATAGATTTGGTTATAAATAAATGTGAACTCAACTAATTAAGCCAGCCCTGAGATCAATACTTTCACATTGCATCCTGCAAATTAAAATGAATATTACAATGTTTAAATTAGAGTTCATTAAAAATTGTAGCTGTTAAAATACCCGACGGGATGGTTCCCATATATATATATATACAACTGGTCAATCTGATTTTTATTTATTTTTTTATTATCCATTAGTTCATTAGTTGTATTCATCCTGTGGGAACAGAGCACACGGAAAGCATTACACTTCTACATTTTTCTATACCCAATGCAAATGGCATTATTTAATTTAAAACAATGACGCAAAAATATATAATAATTTATAGTACTACTATATGTCCTGCCCATCCAGATACACTCCGTCCATTGTGCCGGCGAGTAGTAAATTAATAAATATCACTTGACAAAGCAAATTAATATTCATGTCAATTATTTAGAGTTGCTCTCAGCAGCAAGTGAGTGCCCTCATTGTTAATAATGATCTACATTTGAAGGTATTGACTTTGATACCAGTACATGCAAATTCAAATGAGTTGCAAATTCAAATGAAACGTATAATTATCACCGTACGTACTATATTAAGAACAGAAGAATGCGGAAACAATAAATCGAAGGTTTAAAAATTCTCAGGGAAGCATCCCACTTCCCCTCAGAGCTCTTTCATTGATAGATCAAACATGAACATAGTTTGGACTTACAAAGACTCGAACTCCCTTCAAGCTTAGCCAACACTACTCACGATTCTATCAACTATTTCTCCGGCCACGTCCCGTGAACTTTTTATCCTACACTTACTCCCTAAGTGTAAAAGTAAAAGATAGTTTGATGAAAGCAAAGAAACTAAAAACAAAAGA